GATTAATTAATACATCAGAACAAGTCTCCATGTTCTATTCTTAGATTAATACATATCCTACAGATTAATTAATACATCAGAACAAGTCTCCATGTTCTATTCTTAGATTAATACATATCCTACAGATTAATTAATACATCAGAACAAGTCTCCATGTTCTATTCTAAGATTGGTACATATCTTACAGATTAATTAATACATCAGAACACATCTCAGTGTTCTCTTTTTACGTTAATACATATCTTACAGATTAATTAGTACATCAGAACACGTCTCCATGTTCTATTCTTAGATTAATACATATCCTACAGATTAATTAATACATCAGAACAAGTCTCCATGTTCTATTCTTAGATTAATACATAATACATATCTTACAGATTAATTAATACATCAGAACAAGTCTCCATGTTCTATTCTTAGATTAATACATATCTTACAGATTAATTTTTACACCAGAACACGTCTCCATGTTCTATTCTTAGATTAATACATATCCTACAGATTAATTTTTACACCAGAACACGTCTCCGTGTTCTCTCCTTACACCAAATAATATATTCGTGATTAATTTTTACACCGCAAGCATTGTCATCACTTTCAAAATGATACCGTTAACATATTCTATGTTCTATAAAAAGAAAAATAAATAAACATTGTACCTAGCTTTCGTTTAGAAAAACCTAATGTGAGGCTTAATTGGACTTTAGCTGCTTTTTGTATGTAAAGCTTCTGCCGCAATGTAACAGAGAACAAAAACAAAACTGTAACGTTTCTGTGGATGAAACCCTACCAGTGTTGTGGCTTCAATAATAAAGAACCTCCTAGACGTACTTATCCCCGCGTATCCCACTTATAATTATCGTCGTAAAACTACTAGAAATCACGTCAGCAGCTTTAAACAGTTGTAAATAATGCAGTTGAGAGAAAGTTTTTGGATGTTTAACCAAATCGTATATGTTCTTCGGAGAACATATTACTCTAGAATTTGTTTGTTTCGGTGTCTGTAACATTTTCTGAATGTACCCATACAATGAAACTACGTTTATTAGTTAATCACTTTTTGTATGGGTTTGTTGTTGTTAGTTTTGTCTGTTCGTCCCTTACCCTTTTAAGCATCTTTTGTGTGACTTCCACATAAATTATTTTCCTTCACATTGGCTTTTTTAGAATGTCGTTGAAAAGTGTCGTCTCTCATTGTGATTCTAAGACCGTGTACATTATTATCCATCTTCAAGTTATACTGTATATATCAATCAGAAAAAAATAACAAAACCTCTTTATTGCAAAGTTCATATCGTTTTACCTTGCAGTTTGGAAAATATTCATCCGCGAGCTTTTCTAAATTTGTACCATTGATTCAATATCGAACATACCATAAAAAAGTCAAGTCGAAAAAAGATAGTTCGGAATATTATCGACAGTAGTTGAGTTTAGCTTATTACCTACCTGTTACAAACATTATAATAACATAGGTTGTCGCTAGTTTTCTAGTCAACCGAATGTACGACATTGTCGCAAGGAGTCGTGAGTTTACCAAAGCATTTAACTTTCTGTCAGCTTCTGGAAAGCAGAAGTTACCTCATTTGCCGTTTTCTTGCAAGGAAACAGAGTTTTTCATTCAAGAATGTTGAACTGTCAGCTTCTGGAAGGCAGAAGTTACCTCATTTGCCGTTTTCTTGCAAGGAAACAGAGTTTTCCCTTCAAGAATGTTGAATTGTCAGCTTCTGGAAGGCAGAAGTTACCTCATTTGCCGTTTTATTGTAAGGAAACATGGAGATTTTCATTGAAGAATGTTGAACTGTCACTAGAGCCTTGAAGTTTTTTGCAAGATATTACTTCTTTCATACAAAATTCGACTTCCACCGAAATATTTCAATGTAGACGATCCTTCCAAAGCTATAAAACAAAATCAGTTTTTGAATCTTCCTCCCCTTCCCCTGTTTACCCCGCCAGATTGTTTATTAAATATCCCACTACTGCTACATCTGTTGCCATCGTAGCGAGCGTTGGCCTGTGCTCTAAGCGTCCCCTAATGGAACATCCCAACATCTCAAGTTCTCCACTTACGTCAAGCAGGAAATAGACGGCATTCGCTTGGCCTCGTAGCGCGTGGGTGGCAGGTGACGCGCGATGGCAGGCGACCGACGAATTAGGACCCTGGGGCTGAGGAAATATTTAATGCTGAGATTGCAGCCCACCAAGCATTCCTCGACACTCCGAAGTTGCAATCTAGTAAAATTGGTTCCCGTCGAACATACAGCCAGCATCATTGAGTTCATCTTCTACCTGTGGCGCAACAACAAACTCGTATCGGCACTCCAAGTAAGGTCCTTTCCTGTCTCACTCTTAGTCCTTACTCTGGTCAATGGAATGGTTTTCCTTAGTAGCTAAGGTAGTGCGTTCAGCTAGTATAACACACTCTGTTACATAAAAAAACACGAGAGTTTTGTTTTTACAATTTTAAAATTAGGTAATGCTGATCAAAGTATAATGCACATAATTATGAATAAATGAAACGACCGTGAACTCCATATACATGTATTTATATATGTGCACTATATTTCAGCGAGTTAAAAATATAGGCTTCACGGTTACTTCATTTATTCATAATTTAGTATATGTTTACTTGCATTTAGTAACTTGAATTATAAATAGCACTTTCCAGCAGTGATATTATGGTATTGATCACGATCGTCAAAACACATAATAATACCAGGTTATTAACTAGAGTTCTGATAGTGTCTTGGCTGACTATATGGTTAGTAATGTCACTAATAGTTCCTTGGGAATTCAGACGATCAGTACGGTTACTTTAGGTTCTTAGAAAATCTAAAAGTTTATATTGTTGCTGATGGTTCTTTAGAAAACCAAACGGTTAACATTGTTACTGTAGGCTGTTTTTTGGTAGTTCGTAGACTAGAAGTTTGGTAGTTTCTTAGAAAACCAGACGGTTAACATTGTTACTGTAAGGAGTTTTTTTGTAGTTCGTAGACTAGAAGTTTGGTGGTTTCTTAGAAAACCAGACGGTTAACATTGTTACTGTAAGGAGTTTTTTGGTAGTTCGTAGACTAGAGGTTTAGTGGTTTCTTAGAAAACCAGACGGTTAACTTTGTTACTGTAAGGAGTTTTTTGGTAGTTCGTAGACTAGACGTTTGATGGTTTCTTAGGAATCAAAGCTGTTAAGACTGTTGCTGTAGGTTGTTTTTATGCTAGCTGGTGGTCTAGAAGCTTGGTGGTTTATTATGAATCCAGACGGTTAATACTGTTAATACAAGTTAATTTTTCGTAATTTGTGGTTTAGAAGTCTGGTGGCTTCTTAGGAATCAAAGCTGTTAAGACTGTTGCTGTAGGTTGTTTTTATGCTAGCTTGTGGTCTAAAAGCTTGGTGGTTTATTATGAATCCAGACGGTTAATACTGTTAATACAAGTTAATTTTTCGTAATTTGTGGTTTAGAAATCTGATGGTTTCTTAGGAATCAAAGCTGTTAAGACTGTTACTGTAGGTTGTTTTTATGGTAGCTGGTGGTCTAGAAGTTTGATGGTTTATTGTAGGCTGTTTGTTGGTAGTTAGTAGTCTAGACGTTTGATGGTTTCTTAGAAACTCAGACAGTTAACACTGTTACTCTAGTTTGTTTTTTGTTGATGGTGGTCTAGAAATTTGATGGTTCCTTAGGAATCTAGACGGTTAACACCGTACGTGTGGGTTGATTTTTGGTAGTTGTTAGTCTAGAAGTTTGGGAGTTTCTTATGAATCCAGACGGTTAACACTCTTCTGTAGAATGATTTTTGGAAATTGGTGGTCTAGAAGTTTGATGTTTTATTAGGAATCTGGACGGTTAACACTCTTACTGTAGGTTGTTTTTTTGGTAGTTGGTGGTCTATAAATTTGGTTGTATCTTAAGAATCTAGACGGTTAACACTGTACGTGTGGGTTATATTTTGGTAGTTGGTAGTCTTTAAGTTTGATGGTTTCTTAAGAATCAAAGCGATTAGGACTGTTATTGTAGTTGTTCCGTAGCTTGTTTGTTGTTGGTTTTTTTGGTAGTTGGTAACCTAGAAGTTTGGTGTTTTTTTAGGAATTAAGGCGGTTTACCCTGTTACTGTAGGTTTCTTTTTTGTAGTTGGTAGTACAGAAGTTTCTTAGAAATACAGACGGTTAAAATTTTACTGTTGGTTGTTTTTTGGTAGTTGATAATATAGAGGTTTGGTGGTTTCTTAGAAATCCAGACGGTTAACACTGTTACTGTAGGTTGTTTTTGATAGTTTGTTGTCTAGAAATTTGTTACTTTCTTAGGGATGCTGGTGACTAACACTGTAACTGTAGGTCATTCTTGGTTGTTGGTGGTCTAGAAGTTTGGTGGTTGTTAGGAATCAAGGCGGTTAACACTGTTAATGTGGATTGTTTGTTGGTATTAGGTTGTCTAGGACTTTAAAGGTTGTTATGAATCAAGGCAGTTAACACTGTTACTATAGATTTTTCTTTGATAGAAATTTTGTGGTTACCTAGAGAAGCAGATGGTTAACACTGTTACTTTTGGTTGTTTTTTCTAGTTGGTGGTCTAGAAGTTTGGCGTTTTCTTAGAAATCCAGATGGTTAACACCCTTACTGTAGGTTGTTTCTTGGAAGTTGGTAGTCTAGAAGTTTGGAGGTTCTTTTAGGAATCCATACGGTTATTGCTATTACAGAAGTTTTTTTAGTAGTTGGTATTCTAGAAGTTTGTTAGTTTCTTACAAATTCAAACGTTTAATACTCTTATTTTTGGATATTTTTTGTTATTCAGTCTTTTTCTTTTGAATCAAGGCGGTTAACTCTGTTACTCTAGGCAGTTTTTGTTTGTTTTTTTGTTGTTTTTTTGGTATTCAATAACGTAGAAGTTAGGTGGTTTCTTAGAAATCCAGACGGTTAACATTGTTAGTGTAGTTTGTTTTTCGGTAGTTGGTGGTATAGAAGTTTGGTGGTTTGTTAAGAGTCAAGACGGTTAACCCTGTTAATGTAGGTTGTTGTTTGGTATTTGGTAGTCTAGAAATTTGGTGGTTTATTAGAAATCAAGACGGTTAACACTATTACTGTAGGTTGTTTTTTTTTTTGGTACTTGGTGGTCTAAAGGTTTTGTGGCTTATTAGGAATCCTTGTGGTTAATACTGTTCCTGTAGGTTTTTAGTTTTTTTTGGTACTTGGTGGTCTAAAGGTTTTTGTGGCTTATTAGGAGTCCAGGCGTTTAATACTGTTCGTGTAGGTTGTTTTTTTGGTAGTTGGTAGTCAAGAAGTTTCATGATCTTTAAGAATCAAAGCGATTAGGATTACTACTGTAGTTGTTGTTGTTGTTTTTTGATACTTTGTAGTCTAGAAGTTTGTTGGTTTCTTGGGGATCAAGGTGAGTAACCCTGTTATTGTAGGTTGTTTTTTGGTAGTTGATAGTCTAGAAGTTGGGTGGATTATTAGGAATCCTGACGGTTAACACTGTTGCCGTATATTGTTTTTTGGTAAGTTGGTGGTCTAGAAGTTGGGTGGATTATTAGGAATCCTGACGGTTAACACTGTTGCCGTATATTGTTTTTTGGTAAGTTGGTGGTCCAGAAGTTTCCAGGTTTCTTTATAAATCCATTCGGTGATTGGTATTATAGTTTGTTTGTTTTTTGGGTAGTTGGTATTCTATAAATTTGGTGGTTTTTTTAGAAATCCAGACGGTTAACACTTTTACTGTAGTTTGTTTTTGGTAGTTTGTGGTCTAGAAGTTTGTTGGTTTGTTAAGACTTAACGCGGTTAACCCTCTTACTGTAAGTTTTTTGGTAGTCTAGAAGTTTGGTGGTTTCTTAGAAATTCAGACGGTTAATAATGTTACTGTAGATTTTCTTTGTTGTTGTTGTTGTTGTTGTTTTGGTAGTCTAAAAGTTTGTTCGTTTATTAGAATTCCAGGCGGTTAACACTGTTATTGTATGTTGTTTTTTGGTAAGTTGGTGGTTTAGAAGTTTGGTGGTTTACTAGGAACCCTGACCTTAACACTGTTACTGTAGGGTGTTTATTGGTTGTTCGTGGTCTAGAAGTTTTTTTTGTTGTTGTTGTTTTTTAATCCAGACGATAAACACAGTTACTGTAGAATATTTTTGGTATTTGGCAACTAGAAGATTCATTATTACTAAGATATCCAAGCGGTTAACACTGTTACTGTAGGATATCTTTTGATAATTGGTGGTCTAGAAGTTTCCTGGCTTATTAGGAATTCAGATGGTTAACACTGTTACTGGAAATTATCTTTTGATAGTTGGTGGTCAAGAAGTTTCCTGGCTTATTAGGAATTCAGATGGTTAACACTGTTACTGTAGGTTATATTTTGATAGTTGGTGGTCTAGAAGTTTCGTGGTTTATTAGAAATTCAGATGGTTAACACTGTTACTGTAGGTTATCTTTTGATAGTTGGTGGTCTAGAAGTTTCGTGGTTTATTAGAAATTCAGATGGTTAACACTGTTACTGTAGGTTATCTTTTGATAGTTGGTGGTCTAGAAGTTTCGTGGTTTATTAGAAATTCAGATGGTTAACACTATTACTGTAGGTTATCTTTTGATAGTTGGTGCTCTAGAAGTTTCGTAGTTTATTAGGAATGCAGATGGTTAACACTGTTACTGTAGGTTATCTTTTGATAGTTGGTGCTCTAGAAGTTTCGTAGTTTATTAGGAATGCAGATGGTTAACACTGTTACTGTGGGACGTTTTCTGGTAGTTGATTGTCTAGAAGTTTTTTTCTTACTAATAAAAGCGATTAACACTGTTACTTTAGACGTTGGTGGTCTATTAATTTGGTGGTTTCTTAGACATCTAGATGGTTAAAATTGTTACTGAAGTTTTTTGTTCTTTGATAGATGGTGACTGTAAGTTTGGTGGTTTCTTAGAAATCCAGACGTTAAGACTGTTACTGTAGGTTGTTTTTTAGTATTTCTTAACCTAGATGTTTGGTTGTAATCTTAGGAATCCATACGAATAATACTGTTAATATAGGTTTTGTTGTTTTGGATTTTTGTATCCTAAAAGTTTGATGGTTTCTTTTGATTCCTAAGAAACCAACAAACTACTAGACTACCAAGCAACCAAAAACAACATACATTAACAGTGTTAACCGCTTTGGTCCCCGGCGATTATCGTTGTTTCTGTAGGGTTTTTTGGTAATCTAAAGGACAAATACTGCCACTGATAGTTTTGGTAACTTTCTAAGTTACCGTTAATTACTGTTAGTTCTTTGGTAATCTAGGAAGCTAGAACTGACAATAGGTAATCTGGAACTTTAGTTATATTACTTTTAATTCCTTTGTAACTTCAAAGCAAAATA